CTCGATTGCACCTCTTGCGTGGTATTCCATTGGCCGTGCCAGCCTCGTTGCTAGCTGCACGCAGCCTGCCCCGTCCGCACGAGTGCTCTCGTGGTGGCTCACGGAGTCGTGGCACGGGATTTTTGGGCCCTAGTTTCGGCCACGTTCGCAGGACAGCCCTGCTACGGCGTCGTGACGGCATTTTCACTTTCTCTGCACAGGCCAAGGTTTCGCGCGTTGGCTCGCCTATTGCAGGTTGGACCTCGCGTGCCTCGTGCATGCGGTTGGGCACCATTGACATGTTGGTTTAAAGGCAAGAAGCAAATGTTGGCATCGAGATTATGTCTCATGCTCCGGGCTTTTTGTTTGATTCGAATAAGACGTCTCAAGTTTCTTCTTGGTGCAACTGCTCGTGCACCGAATCCGTGACACATGCATCTGCCTTGCTTTGCGAGTCCAGATTTTTGTGCTGGGCCTGGCATGCGGTGTGGAGTGTACATGTGATGCGTCGCGGGGAAAAAAATACAGTCCCGCCCGCTCGATCCAACCAGGTTGCTAGGTCCGCCACGTTGGGACTCGCCCGTTAGGGTCCGCCCGACCCGACCCGCCTGTTATGGTCCAGCCTTTTGAGCTGACGCTAGGGCTTTCGCGTGCCAGCTTTATTATGCATCACTTGCATGTCCCGCCCGCCCGACCCGACCCCCCCCTTTAGGTTGCGCCCGAGCCGACCTGCCCGTCCGCAAGATCCGGATCGCCTGCTAGGTTGCGCTCGTCCGACTGGACCCGCCCGCGATGTGCCAGTTCGATAATGCACCATATTTTCATGTCCCGCCCGCCCGATTCGATCCGAACACTAGGGTGGGGCCCGACCCCACCGGCCCACCGGCCCGCCCGCGTGGCCTGACTCGGCCGCCAGGGCCTGCCAGCCCGACCCGACGCTCCCGTTGGGTTTCTCGTGCCAGATAGATTATGCATCATAGTTTCATGTCCCGCCCGCCCGACCCGACCCGCCCTTTCGGGTCCGCCCAAGGCGACCCGCCCGTTAGGGCTCGCCCGCCCGACTGGACCCGTCCGTCAGGGCTCTCGCGTGCCAGCTCGACCTTACAGTATACTTTATACTATCATGTCCCGCCCGATCACATAGCTCAGCTCGATGGCAGCGCTGGCTCTTAGCAGCATTCTGGCTTCAGGGTTCTGGGTTCCCGACGTGACCTCCAAATCTACATATTTGGAGTCGAGCTTCTGGTTCTGGGTTCCTGTTTCGGCGGGCTTGCGGGCTCAGTCAGCTTGATCGCAGCGCCATGCAGGTCTCAGCAGCATTTCAGGTTCTAGGTTCTGGGTTCGTTCCGATTTTGGGGTCCGGGTTCCGGGCTTCGGATTCTACCATCGAATCAGTCCAAATTCTTGGATTCTAGGTTCCGCGTTCCAGTTTCGGCCGTCCTGGCTTGCAGGATCAGCTCCATCGCAGTGCCACTCGTTGCAGCATTCCAGTTTCGACTTTCGGGTTCTGGCTTCCAGGTTCGGATTGGATTTCCCAATCCAGATCTCTGGATTCAGGGTTCGAGGTTCCAGGTTCCGGCTTCGGCCGTTTGGTAGTGTCAGCTCCCTTGCAGCGCGGGCTCTCAGCAGCATTCCGGGGTTCGGATTGTGGGTTCTGGGTTGCGGATTGGACCTCCCAGTCCAGATAATATCCAGATTCCAGGTTCTGGGCTCCAGTTTCGGCCCGCTTGCAGGGTCAGTTCGACCGCAGCGCCTGCTCCAGCAACATTTTGGGGTCTGGATGCTGACTTCCGGGTTCCAGGTTCTGGGTTCTGGATTGGACCGTCAGATCCAGATATCCAGATTTTGGGTTTCGGGTTGCGGGTTCCGTTTTCGGTCATCTTGTAGTCTCAGCGCCAGCTCTCAGAAGCACTCCGGGGTCTGGATTCCGATTTTTGGTCCCGGTTTTGGACATCCCAAGTCAGATATTCGGATTCCGGGCTCGGGTTCTGGCTTCCAGCTTTGGCCGGCTTGCCGTCGCAGCGCTGGCTCTCAGCAGCATTTTGGTTCCGGGCTCCATGTTTTGTGTTCTGGATTGGACCACCTGATACAAACATCGAGGTTCGGGCTTCGGCCAGCTTGCATGCTCAGCTCGATCGCAGCGCTGGTTCTCTCAGCAACATTCCAGGTTCTGGGTTTCGGGTTCCGTGTTCCAGATTGGTTCTTTCCAGCGGGACCTTCTGGATCATCTCTCCCGAGGCCCCGCAATGTTCTGGATAATCTTTCCGGAGGCCCCGCAATGTTTTTTCGGCATGGGCTTGTGTTCGAGTGGACGAGAGAAGGGTCATCAGTTTAGCTAGCACGACCCATCCAACATGTTCACTAGATTTCAATTTGTCAAATTTGTTTGCATGGGTACAAATGCTATGGGAGAGCGTCGACTCGGACTTTATCATCGATGCGAATCTTCGCAGTTGGGGCGCAGTTTTTGTGCTAGATCGTCGATTAACTAGCCCCCCCCGCACACCCCAATTCCTGCGTTGATTCGCCTGCGATGTGAAAAGCTCGACACGCAATTGATTGCCGCTCAGAGAGACGTTGATGTGTTGGACAGTGCGAAAGGAGATGGCTTGCGAAATTTTGAGAAGGCAACTGAGCGTACCCAGCAGGAAACGGATCTTGATTAAACGCATGATTTTGGTAACGATTACCTGTTCTGAAGAAGGTTCCCCGACGTACCATTTCACGAAGCCGTCCATTGTCTGCAACCTCGTTGTGGCGTCAGTGCTTCCCGAGAATACAGCCAAATTCCACAGGGCGATGGCATCTCACATTCTATGTGTCTTACATAGGTCTAAAGAGTTGCTTGTCGTGTGGAATCGCAAGCTGCACATTTTTTGTTTAAGTTTACAGGCCGAATGCATGTTTTTCGGATCGAGCATTGCTTCAACAGTGCAGTTGTTGGGTTGCATTTTGGTTCATTGGGTGTCGTGACCTCGACTTACAGACAGCATGCTTAGCTGTGATCGCACGCATTGCCTGCCGATTGCAGGCTGCATATTGTCAGGAGACCCGTGACTGGTCAGTGATTTGGTGCGTAATTCGAGCATTTATCCGGTGCTGCAGCTCGTGCGTTTCCTCGGCTTGTGGGTGCCTTGACACCCGATTGCGATGATTTGCTACAGGTGAAGTGCGAAGGCCGCCTGGATGACCCTGGCATTGTGGGAATGCATGCGTCAGGAGCGGAAAAAGGACGTACATGTACATGAATCCACGCTGGTTTCGAGAGTTCACATTGCGCAAATATTCGTATAACGCGGCTGGTCTCACGGATCGAGGGGCCGTGTTCATGTACATAGCTGGGCGCGTACGTCCTTTGTGGGCTCCCTAATGCGTCTCCTCCCTCCTCCTGGCTGCTGGCGCAGGGGTGCTGGGCAGCAGGCGGACCTCTGGGTGCCGGGCGCCGGGCACCGCCTCTGCCTCATAATTCTCTTTCTCCGCCGCGGCCCGCGGTTCCAAAAATGCTACAGGGAGGCTCCGCTGCGCCGGTCTGCGGACAGCTCTGTCGACCTCCGCCGCCCAGTGGCCGATCTGAAGGTCTGCCGCCTTTCGCGCTTTGACAGGCGTCGGCCATGCCAGTGTACAGCATCTCCCATTCAGGGCTGCGGCATAACTGCCAGGCGACGTGACCTGATGTGCTGAGTGATCTGCTGCACCACGGGCACGCGCCTGCGGAATCATTTTGTTGCAAGGCTACGGGCGAGTACGTCGCGCCCGCAGCCACGCGCACACTCCAAGTATGATGATAATCTTGAGATCAGTACAGAATCGCAGTAGCGATGTAGCATTAGTACAGGAAGCTCTACGCGTTTCCAGTCGGTAACCAATCTTAGTGGTTTACCGCTATCCCTTTTTCTTGGTGCAAGGAGTCTTCAGGAGAAGTCTACATATATATATAATTTATTAATATGTACAATGTTTCTTCCGCATTTGAACTGTTTGACCATGTATTTTCTCGGAGGTCACGGTCAACGGCTGAGTTTTTTTTGCGGACGTTTGGTGTCAGTCTTGACTACACACCCAACGTACTGTGATTTGTTTGGTTTTTGCATAATCCATTGCGAATGGTACCGCGCGACAGTGTACACTATTTCTTCATACCGGCAAATGTTTTTGTCTGCTTTGCGCATGTGCGCTATATTTCTGGTGGTTGTGGTCACCATTTTGTGCATGGTGCCATTTCGATTGAACAAGTGTTCGCGTAGATATTATAATGGCGATGTTTTGTGGTGTTGATATTGCCTTTGGGCGATCTTTCATGAGAAAGTGTACGAGAACTTGATGCGTGCGGGGAAAGTTCGTCGAACAAGTGTTCACATTACTGCGTTGCTGGAGTTTTCTGTTGCCCTGTCCTTGGCCTTTCCTGGCCCTGGTGTTCCCGTCCGTTGTTGTTTTTTGCTAGGCTTACGCCGTTCCGCCGACCTTCAGAAGAGGAGTCGTGCAGCTTTCGATTTTGTTCATATTATTTGGCACTTCTTTACGTGCTGTCTGCGTGTACTTGTTGCCCCTTTTTTTCTCCTCTTTTTTCGCTTCTGTTGGGCGGTCACCTTGGGGGCGTCTTGGAGGCTCCGCGGACTTTTTGGAGCTTTTTCCAAGCTCCTGGGAGCTTTCTGGGGCCTGCTTGGGGGGTCTTGGGTGTATGCCGGGGGGTCTTGGAGGCCATGTTGTGAGGGAGGGCTCCCGGGATCCCTGCGAGTTTGCCGTCCGTTGCTGTTTTTATGGTTGTTTGGACTTTCTCTCAGGTTCTGCGTCCACCTTTCGGTCTAGATTTGCCGATTGTCACCATATTCTTTGGCTTGGCCTCGTCCGTGACTTACCCTGGTTTCTGGTGATTTCAATTTGAACATTTGGTGGAGACAGGAAGCGTGTGACTGCACATTGGGTTGCCAGTGCATGAGAACTATTGCTGTATTGTTCGCGTTTTCCTTGTTTATTAGGTTCCTTGTTTTTCCAAGTGCCTGTCGCGATGTTGTTGTGGGCAGGCATTATCTTCAGCTTCTCCACGTCGAGGACGAGCGGTCCGTCGGCGCTGTTACTCCCATTTGTGTTCCGAGAGGCGATCCCGTCGGCTGCTTCCAGCAAGAGGTCACTCTTCCTGCAGTGGTACCCGCTGTGTCGGTACAATTGTGTTTTACACATGGGTGATTCGATTGAGCGTACGTTCGTACGTGATGGCAGCTTTGTGTCATTTCGGCCGCATGAAAATGACAACATGCGTACATGCGTGCGCGCATGTCCAACCGCGCGAACAGTGATAGTCAGCAGTGGTTTCGGTGGTTCGTTGACCGTGGACCTGGCTCTTCGTGGCTTTCTGTTCTCTCTCTCGTTGTTCGTGGCCGTATAGTCCCCAGTGAAACGCGCGTGAAAGGCAATGACCAAGAGGCTGGAACTTTGTAATTTTGCAGTTCAACAAATCGATTGAGGTGGATTCAGGTATTGCATGTTGCGTAGCGGTGGTCCACGCCATGAAGGCGCATGTGGTGGAACATGCGTATGACTCCCAATATTAGGCATCTTATGTTTTCTGATAGCCGCGCAGGCGACGAGCGCCTATCTGATTTCGGTGGTCTGTCACCAGTAACTCTGCAAGGATTTGTTGCCGATCAGGGGGGTCTGCTGTTGTACACTGCCCTCTTACACAAGTCTCACGCAGAGAAGCTTGACTCCACGAATGCTGCAGAAGCGTCGGAGGCTTGACTCCACGAATGCTGTAGACGTGTCAGCGTTTCTCGTTGGTAACCGCTGTGTCTCTCTCTCTCTCTCTCTCCCTGCGCTCTCTCTCCCTGCTGTCTCGCTTTCTTTGTTACTCTCTTCCTGCGTGCTGTCACTCTGGTATTTTGCTGTTTTTTTTTTTTCCCCTGCCATTTCTCCTCCCTCGATTCTTGCTATGAGTTCCTCCATTCCTCTGTGCATTGTTGTCTCTTTCCTTCTCCGTTTCTGTCTGCCTTTCTTTCGTCAGCACCTGTTGTTGTGTCTGTTTACATATACATGTATACATGCATACATATGTATATATATATATATATTTACATATATATATATATATATCTGATGTAAGTATGTATGTAGCTATATGTGTTCAAGTGTTTTTTGTGTATCAATGTGTATCCACGTTCATATAGCTGTAAATCAACAAGCTCGTATATTTACGCACCACTAGCTCGATATCCCATTACATCTGTATTCTGGCTTTCCTTGTCGCTCTTGCTCTCTCTATCCCTCTCTCACCATCTCTTCCCGTCATTCGTAGTTTCGCCCCACATTGTGCATATATATGTATATATGTATGCTTATAGAGGTCGATACAACATATAAACATCCCTCATTGTCTCGATCAGTTGCGGTCCGTCTCGCTCTCTTTCTCTTTCTCTCTGTTTCTTTCTGTCGCTTCACATGTCTTCAGTCCCAGCGCCATCTCGTCGTTCGTCTCTCCTTGTGCAGCCGTCCCTTCTCTTGCCAGATCAGTATTCCTCTATGTTTCCCTCCTGCTTCTCCTTCTTTCTTCCCCTCAATCTTTTTGTGCTTCCTCTATTCCTCCCACCTCAGGACCACGGGTGCTGTTGAAAGTAACACGACCATCAGTGGAAGGCGCGCAGCGTTCGCCGCAACTTCGCCCCAGTCGCACATGGCGGCGCGCGTCGCCCCCACAGGGAGGGCGCGGTCGCCCCGCAGATCTCGCCTCGCTGCCCCGCGCGTCGGAAGCCTGGCTGCCGGAGCGGCCAGCGGCAGTCCGAGGGGTCAGCCCGCCGCGAGCGCGCGCCGACCCCCCCTTGCCCCGAGAAGCGCGCCCCCCCCTTCCCCCCCAAGAAGCAGAGCTGACCGGGGCGAGCGGCGACGAGGGCCCGACGATTCAGCCTTGCATTCCGGGGGGGGGGGGCTGCAGGACGCATGGGCGTCGCCCGAATGATGATGATGATGATGATGATGATGATGATGATGATGATGATGATGATGATGATGATGATGATGATGCTGCTGATGATGATGATGATGCTGATGCTGTTGCTGATGCTGATGCTGATGATGCTGATGCTGATGATGATGCTGATGATGATAATCCTGATGATGATGATGATGATGATGATGATGATGATGATGATGATGATGATGATGATGATGATGATGATGATGATGTCACGATGATGCTGGATATACTGATGCTACTGATGCTTACCATGATGTTCATGGCGATGCTGATTAGGACGATGATGATGAGCATCATTATCATGAGCACCACCACCAACATGCACATGGTCGTCATTTTGAACAACACCTGCAGGACGCATCACGGACGGCCAGACGATCCCAGACATCGGCCTCTCCTCCCTCTCATCCTCTGGCGAGGACCATCATAGGCCTCTGCCCTTAAGGTGGTGGCCATCATGGGCGCCGTCCTTCGGCATCTGCCATCATAGGGGCTGCTCGGGTCCCACTCCCATCAGCACACCGATCCATGAAGCCGTCAATGGCGCTGGAGGGGGCCGAGGCTCTCCCTACGGTCCTCCGGCCAACGAAGACGGCCCCGTGGAGGGGTGCCAGCGTACCTCCACAACTCAGACCTTCCAGACCTCAAGGCGCCAATTGCCACCATGCACTGCTTTCCTCCCTCCGCACGCGCGCATCTTTGCCCTTATGTCGCTCCCGCTCGAGCGACGGAGGAACATGGGGTCGACTACGCCGACTTTCGCGCACAAGGCTCCCGCGGAGGATGGCGCGTAAACGTCCCAGTTTTGAATGTGGCTTGCCACGCTGACGGCCCGCGGATGCCGCGGCGTGTGGTTGGCGTGGCATCGTGCGTGAGGCCCGTGTCTTGCCGTCGTTTTTGTTTGTGCTCCGCCTGTGCAATGCTGCTCTCACGCACGCACTAGGCGCTCTCCTCCTCCTCCTCCTCCTCCCCCTCCTCCTTCTCTGCCTCCTCCTCCTCCTCATTCTCCTCCTCCTCCTCCTCCTCCTCCTCCTCCTCCTTATCTGCCTCCTCCTCCTCGTCCTCCTCCTCCTCCTCCTCATTCTCCTTCTCCTCCTCCTTCTCTGCCTCCTCCTCCTCCTCCTCCTTCTCCTCCTCCTCCTCTCGACCTCCTCCCGCAAACTCTGGCCAGAGCCCCGAGCCGCTCGCGTGCGCAGGGCCCCCCTGCCCCCAGGAGACGCCAGCTGCCGCCGGTCGTCCCTGAGCCACAGCGGCGGCAAGGGGGTCGGGGCGCTCCTCCGCCGCTGGGTCCAGGAGAGAGGGAGGGAGGAGGAGGAGGAGGAGGAGGAGGGGGAGGAGGAGGAAGAGGAGTGGGAGGAGTGGGAGGAGGAGGAGGAGGAGGAGGAGGAGGAGGAGGAGGAGGAGGAGGAGGAGGAGGAGGAGAGGAGGAGGAGGAGGAGGAGGAGGAGGAGGAGGACGAGGACGAAGAGGAGGAGAAGGACGAGGAGGAGGAGGAGGAGGAGGAGGCGGTGGAGGAGGAGGAGGAGGAGGAGGACGAGGTCCAGGGGAGGGCAAGGTGCTGATACCGCTGCCCTTGCCACGTTTTCTCCCTGTGGGCCTCCCAGGAGGCCCTCGTCGCCACCACTGGGTTCGCCTTGGGATTCTGGCCAGAATGCATCAAAGAGAGAGGTCCAGGAGGAAACCGCGGTGTCGCTGCCTTTTTGTCTCCCTGGAGGTGGAGAGGGCCGGGGGGCAGGATGATTAGGAGAGGGAGGACGGACGGGAAGGAAGTTCGGTAGCAAATCATGGGAGCCTGATACACACTCTTAATTCCGTCTTTAGCGTCGATGATCGTCGATTAGCGTCTGGGAGTCGATGAGGTAGTGCTGATTTAGCGTCGGCTAGCCTCGATTCAGTGTCGCTTAGCGTCTATTTAGAATCGACTAGCGTCGATTCGCAAGAGCCAACAAGATGGTGTGGGATGCTCCCATGAGTTGCCACATACAGGAAGGAAACGGGACGGAGGAGGAAGGAGGAGGGTGGCGCCCAGGCGAGCGTGCTGGTCCAGGCCAGGGACGGTGGCAGGCGTTCCGCATTTGCCGTCGACGCGGATCGGGTGACGATGCCATTTCCCAGGTCGCTCTGAGCGTGGTCAGATGTCGGATACGTTCGTCCGTGTCCGAGAATAAGGGAACAGTTGGGATGGGGGCGAGAAGGAGGAGGAGAAGGAGGAGAAGGAGGAGAAGGAGGAGAAGGAGGATGAGGAAGAGGATGAGGACGTGAGAGTAGCTGGGGGATGGTGCCGCGGCAGGAGGAGGAGGAGGAGGAGGAGGAGGAGGAGGCGAGGAGGAGGAGGAGGAGGAGGAGGAGGAGGAGGAGGAGGAGGAGGAGGAGGAGGAGGAGGAGGAGGAGGAGGAGGAGGAGGAGGAAGGAGGATGAGGGATGTTCGTCCTTCGAGCCCTCTCCCCCCTTCGGAAGCGGGGTGAAGGAGGGGGATGAGGACGATAGAGTAGTTGGGGGATGTCGGCGGGAGGAAGATCATAATCGTGATCGGAAAGGATCGGGGATCGAGTACGATGAGGATCGAGGGGGATTGAGGAGGATCGAGTACCGATGCGCCCTCCGCTTCTGGCAGGAGGGGTCTCCCCCTGCCAGCTGGCCGCGCGAGAGGTGCCGCAGCTGCTGGAGCTGCTCCGGGGCTTTTGGTGCCGCCGCCAGGGGTGGGTGGGGAGGGGAGGGGATCAGGCTCCTCAGGCTCATTAGGCTCCTTGGCCGCTCAGGCTCCTCAGGCTCCTCAGGCTCCTTAGGTTCCTCAGGCGCCTCAGGCACCTCGGGCTCCTCAGGCGCCTCGCCTCAGACACCTCGGGCTCGTCAGGCGCCTCAGACACCTCAGGCTTCTCAGGCTCCTCAGGCTTCCAGGCTCCTCAGGCTCCCCAAACTCACCAAGTTCCCCAGGCTCCCCAGGCCTCCCAGGCTCATCAGGCTCCTGAGGCTCCTGAGGCTCCTGAGGCTCCTGAGGCTCCTCAGGCCCATCGAGGTTTTCGAATGCTTTCGTTCGTTCCTACAAGTTTTGCAGCCTCGGGATGCTTCCCAGCAGCTGCGCCTCGTCGAGGGCTTTCCGGGAGTGCCAATATTCCCTTTTCGGCCGTTGGATGCCCGAGTTACGGCCCCCAGGCCAGCAGGCGTCGAAGTGGGGGGTGATGCTTGGTGTGTGTGTGTGTGTGTTTGTGTGTGCGTGTGTGTCACGCTGGCCTTCCCTTCGGGGCTGCCTCGCAGGTCAGTTGTGACTTCGGCTCCCCTGGGCACCTCGCTGCACCCCTTTCGCCTCCAGCTCCTGCTGGGCCTTTCCCCCCCCCCCCTGGGCGCTTGCCTCTGGCGGCCTCGCCTACCCCCCAGCTGCCGCTTCGCTGCCGCTGGCCCTGCCACCGGCGCCCCCCGCCGCTGCCTGGCCCCGCTCTGAGCGGGCCCGGCTCCCCCGTTCCTCTTGCCCGCGCCTGGCTTCTTCTTCGTTCCCCCGTGCATTGCGGCTTAATTCGCGTTCCGTGCATCCCACTTACGCCCCATCGCCAGCGGACGCAACAACTGTGTGTGTGTGTGTGTGTGTGTGTGTGTGTGTGTGTGTGTGGGTTGACCTCGGCGCCGGGCACGTCTTTCTCCTTGGCCGCCCCCCCCTGCCGTCCTGGCGGGGCGTTCTCGTGCTGCCTCAGTGGCCGCCGTCGCGACCTTGCTTCCCGGGCCTCGTCCGCCGCTCACTGGCTGGTGGGCGGCTGCCCGCCGCTGCCCCGCTGGCCTGGTGGTGGCCTCTTCCTTGTCGCGCTCCCTGGGCGCCTCGCAGGTCGTATGTGACCTCGGCACCTTGGGCTCACGCTGTCCGCTGCAATCGCTCCCATCGGCCTTCCCCAGGTTGCCTCGTCGGTCACCCTGACCTCGGCACCCTTGGCCACCTCGTTGTGCTGTTTCCGCCTCCAGCTCGCGCTGGACCTGTCGCTGCCCCCCTGGGCGCTTGCCCCAGCAGCCACCCTGGCTGCCTACCCCCCCAGCTGCTGCCCGGCCGCTGCTGCTGGCCCCCGGCCCTGGCGCCCCCCCGCCGCCGCCTGGCCACGCTTTGAGCGGGCCCGGCTTCTGTCTCCCTCCCGCCCGCGCCGGGCCTTCCTCCTCTCCCCCACGTGCATCGCGGCTAGGTTCGAATTTGTATGCCCTGCATATGCCCCTTCCGCCAGCGCAGTCACTCTGCCCAGCCGCCGACGCAAAGGTATGTGTGTGTATGTGGATGTCATGGCCGACGCAATTCGATCTCCCTGGGTGTCATGCCCCCCCTCGTCCGCGCACATGCCTCTGGCCGCGGTCTGGGACCCCCGTTCTGGACGTCGCCCTTTTGGAAGCCTCCTTCCTCAGGACCCCTTTGCCTGGAGTCCTGAGCCATGTTCGTCGGGGGCGGGCACGCTTGGTGCGACGCGCACGCCAGACGCAGCTGCGGTCAAGCAAAGTGCAACCCGTCGGAGATCGCTACTGCCATGCCTCAAGGCAAAGGGTCCAGCGGGTCCAGCGAACAGGGGGCTCCGTGCGGCCAGGGCGACTGAAATCCACGGCCCTGTCCGCGTGCTCATCGCTTGGGTGAGCCCGTGTCCATGTCCACTTGGCTCATTGTAGAGGGCTCTGGCCCGTGCCGCCGACCAGGGCGCTCTGGGACGCTCCGTGCGACCTCGTCCTCTTTGGTAGTTTGTGAGCGTTACCTCACGGAGGCCGGCGGGAGGATGAGGGGGGACGAGGAGGAGCAGGAAGATAGCAGGAGGAGGAGGATGAGGAGAAGGAAGAAGAGGAGGAGGAGGAGGAGGAGATGGAGGAAAAGGACGATGAGGAAGAGGATGAGGACGTGAGAGTAGCTGGGAGATTGTGCCGTGGCAGGAGGAGGATGATGAATAATACGAATAATAATGATATTAAGAAAACAAATAGGAATCTCAAGAAGACGCATAATAATACTACGACTAATTGTAATAATATTAATTCCACACTAATACTAATAATAATAGTAAAAAATAGCCATAAGAACACTAAGCATACTAATACGAATGGTAGATATTAAAATAGGATTAAACAAACAATAGCCTATGAATGCTAATACAACTAATAATCATACTGTTATTAGTAATCATAAGAACAAACGATTACTCATACTAAGCAGAATATCAATATTAAGAAACATCACAACATTACTACTACTACTACTACTACTACTACTACTAATGATGTTAATAACAACAATAAACGTAATACTAATAAAAAGAACAATCATACTAATAGTAATAATACTAATAATTCGAAGAGTAAGAAGAAGAGGAGGAGGGGGAGGAGGAGGAAGAGGAGGAGGAGGAGGAGGAGGAGGGCAAGGATAGTTTCGGCAGTTTGTGTGTTGAATGGAAAGCCTGATGCGTGTCCATCCGTCGAGCTTGTTGGCGGGCTAGTTCCCTGGCGGGTTGTTCCGTTGGTGGGTCGTTGGGCTGGGGCGTTCCGGCCCCCGCCCTGGCCCGGGATCTGGCACGGGTGCCGGCTCTGGCCCCGGCCCTGGCCCTGGCCCTGGGCCCTGGCCTCGGCCCCGGCTCCGGCCCCAGCTTCTCACCACCCACCAAACCACCCCAACCCAACCCGAAGGCCCAAATTTATCCTCGATTTCCAGTGGGGGGGGTCGGGGAACACTGAAAAAACACATGGAATCCTACCCCCCCCCAACCCGAAATTCGGGTCAAATTCGGGTCTTCGGGTTGGGTTGGGGTGGTTTGGTAGGTAGTCAGCTTCGGTCGAGAGGAAGATGCGCCCTTGAGGCGGCGTCTTCCCTGGACCCGAACGCTGCTGAGTCCGTCGGGAAGGAACTGGATGGCAACAGAACATGCAGGGCCATCGAAGGTGTCCCTGACATTTTCGGTAACGGTTGGGCGCTTAGGGATGGTGATAAATCGCAGGACGCTTGTGCAAACAGGGACCGCTCCGATCCAGCGTACGGGATGAAGCTCACTACGGAATCGCGGAAACACGTGGGGGAATGTCATGTATGTTTTCCGGGGCCAAGGATGACAAGAAATAATCCGCAACGTCCATGCCCATTTTGTCGTTGGCGTCCGATGGGACTTTTAGGACTTGATCGAGCTTGGTAGGCCATCAAAGGCGGGAAGCAACTGGTTCGGGAGATCGCGGTTTTGTCGCGACGTCCGATCTGGTTACCCGAGACGGGAACTTTGGCCGCGGATGGCCGAGGCGTTAAGACGA